ATTTCAGCTCGCTCATGCTGTATTAATGAATGGCATCTGTTCTAACTGAAACATACTTTAAATGTTTCTGGAGGCATCTGGCTCCATTAATGCAGTGATTACAGTTTTTAGTCTCACAGACCTCTCACTGAAAAATAGATTGTCTTTAAGGTTATAAACTGTGTTTAATGCTTGACAGGTTAACACGAGCTGTTAATGAGGCATTTTATTTTTTCAGTTCAGTAGCAGAGGTTAAGTCAACTACAAACATCTTACAAGTAAACAAAATGTTAACTATTCCAATTAGCAGTATTACTGGATTTATGGGCAAAACTGAAGGCTGTTAGACTGAAATTGCATTTTACATTTTATTTTAAGGCACTTATAGATATAATATGTTTCATTTTAAATAACAAATGTATTTACACATGCCTAAAGGACTTGTTAATGCTTACTGTTTCTATTGGGACTAAGCTGGAATGGTAAATTGTCATAGTATTGTTGGTATTGTCATGGTATTGTCTCATCATAGAAGTAGAAACATAGGGCCATATATAACATAGACATCCAGGGCTCTCCTCCTGGCATTTTGTAAACATTGTCTATACATTTACATTACACTCCATGAGCTTCAGACTACAACAAGAAGTGAGAAACAATACACATTGTAAAGCACATACCCATAAGTAAAGCACATCACTGTGATTTTTAGAGGTCCTTTTATTTTTAAGGTTCTCATGTTTTGCTTTTTAAATGGCCCCAACAGAAACATAGAAGTCCAACATCGAAAAAGTGGCCTATTGTCTACCTACATTTTTCTCTCAGCATCGTGTTGCTATAGCCATTTTAGTAATTTTTAAAAATGGCAAATATGGAAATTAATCTTTAGCTATTAACTGGTTTGATGGGGCATTAAACAAAGTGATGTTGACAAGAAATGGGGGAGGGGGAGAGATAGGAAATGAGAACGAGTGGCTATGAGTTTGGGAAGGACATACAGAGTTGAGACTGGAAGAAAGGGAGCAGCTGTCACAGCACTTTCTGACTAGCCAAGGACATCTTGATCACCGCATGAGCAGGCATCAATCAAGAATTGATCCAATCCTTAAATGAAGCTTGGTAATAATGCATTGTGTTTATTATTGTTATATACTTAAACTAGGGGAAATAGGTTAGAGTCAATTGCGTGTGTGTGTGTAGACTAGCCTTTTAACCTTTTCAGCTCTCTGTACACCACCTGCAGTCCATCAAAGATACCCTTTTCACACTTTGTGTCAATGTCTATACTTTCTTGAAGATTGCCATACAACCCAGGACAAATATTTAGACAAAGCAAAACTTTAGGGGATACCTAGGTACAATACTAGAAACCAAACTATACAAGAGAAACAATTACTACACTTGAAATGCCTGGATTCCTGTTCACTGCAGAAACTGTGGACTGTTGTCTCTGTTGCAGCTAAGGATTTAACCTCTCTAGTTAGTTTAGAAGCTGGGTGCAAAAAATAAGCAATGATGTGTGCAGAGGTACTCATAAAGGCCAAAGTGACCAGTATGACAACTGTAGATCTCTATTGAATGTACAGTATACATATACAATACCCTGGTTTTGCTGGCCACTTCATCAGGGAGGTGCATTAGGGCACTTTAACCCTGTCATCGCCAGGTCCGTTCATTGTACAGACTTGACAGCGAGGGTTTTTTTTTTATACAATCCAGTGGGTGCAGCCTCCGGGATTGTGTATAAAACTTACAGGCAGAATCCTGCCTGTCAAGTGGAAGCAGTCTGGCAGCAGTGTAGTCCCCGTTAGCATGTGCTCCCACTATGTATCCAGGCCCCGCTTGCCCATCTGTAGGCCTGGGGAACACCAAGGTAGGTGGAGGGGAGAGAAGACGTCCACTCTCCTCCCCTTCGTTCTCTGACCCGGAAGGCGACGTGTGTGACGTCACTTTCCAGTCACAGCTGTCACTTTCTTTGCTAGCACAGCCCAGAAGCAATGCATTGCAATGCAATCTGCCTTGCAATACATTGAGTGGAGTCCAGAGGAGACATGAAGGTCTTTTAAACCCTGTACAGTATGTCTCAATAAAGAGAACATATCACCTAAAAATCATCACATAGGGGACATTTGTGCCCTGCATGTGGTAAAAAAAAAGTTATTTATTGCAAAAAAAAAATACATTTACAGCCAAGCACATAACATCCCCCCAAAATTATTTTGAGGCCCCCCACATATACGCACGTATGCTCATAAAAGCACATGTAGGGTGCCTACACATGAAAACGCCAATTGCAATACACATGTTACATATAGTTGTGCAAGTGAGAGCAATGATTCTAGCACAAGTCCTCCTTCGTAACTCTAAACTGATGACCTATAGGGGCTTTTGAAGTGTCGCCTATAGAAAATATAGGGTACTGAAGTTTGTCACTATTTCATAGGTGCACACAAATTTAAGGTTTGGCATGTTGAATATCTATTTACTCGGCCCAACCTCATCTTTTTATATTTTACCAAAAATTTGGGTAATTTGTGTTTGTTTGCCCTAAAATTTACTTTAGTGTGTTTTTTACTGACATTTTGCATTCCCTAGACCTTTGCGGTAATATCGTGTGACATAAAAATTTGGAGCTACCACTATTTTATTCTATAGGGTGTTTGGTTTCAGAAAATATATAATGTTTTGGGGGTTTTGCATAATCTTCAGGCCTAAAATGATTTTTTAAACGTGTGCAAACAAAATATTCAAAAACAGCTCTGACATCAAATGGTTTAACAGCTTCCCTACCACCCTATAGCAGATATATTGCTACAGGGCAGCAGGGATGCACAAAATCATGTATGTATACGTAACTTTGCGTTTCTGGGTAGGGGGCACCCCTATTAGAGGCCGCAGTTGTCATTCACCGGGTCCCGGCCAGTGCCTGGTGATTACTGAGCATCTCTGATGGGAAGGAGGACTGCTTTGTTTATTAACAGTCCTCCTCCCTGTCAGCTCTGGCACACTGCTCTGGATGACTGTACACAGCACAGCCATCCAGAGCAGTGTGATTATAGTAAAGCCCACAGACACTGCCCCTTATGTAAAACACTCCCTGCACACAATTAACCCTTTGATCGCCCCTGATGTTAACCCCTTCCTGCCCAGTGCCATTAGTACAGTGTCAGTACTTTTTTAGCACTGATCACAGTATTGGTGTCACTGGGGAAGTTAGTGACACCAAGTCAGTTCCCCCCAGTGTCAGAATGCCTGCCACTGTCCCACAGTCCCACCATAAGTCGCTGATCGCTGCCATTACTAGTAAAAAAATAATCCTGTATCTATACCGCCTGTCAGGGCTCCAGGGTATGACCAGAGGTATGTGACTGACGCAGGGAAACGCAGGCTTCAGATAAGTTATAAACAATATAATTTATTAAAGACTAACAATACTAACATAAACGCAGTGCAATACTAAAACATAACACAGTGCAAACGAACCAAACCAAACCACCCACAGATAACAAAACATACAATGCAAGCGTCGTCAGGCAGGCCGGATCATAAACAGGAGGTCAGAACGTATGGGGTAAAGCATGAGAAAGGTCAGACAAAGCGAGGGATCAGAGCAGGAGAATGGTCAGACAAAGCCAGGGATCAGAGCAGGAGAATGGTCAGACAAAGCCAGGGATCAGAGCAGGAGAATGGTCAGACAAAGCCAGGGATCAGAGCAGGAGAATGGTCAGACAAAGCCAGGGATCAGAGCAGGAGAATGGTCAGACAAAGCCAGGGATCAGAGCAGGAGAATGGTCAGACAAAGCCAGGGATCAGAGCAGGGTCAGCAACGAATCAGACAGACAGGAACAGGAACAGGAACGGGGTTGCAGGAACAGGATACAGGGCCCAGGAGAAACACACACCAAGGCCGAGTCTGCAGGTCTGGCCATCCCTTAAATACACCAGCATAAGCAGTTTCAGGTGTTTGGCTGGCTGCAAGGTTGAGTCTCTGATTGCTGGGAGCACCCGCTGGCCAGCCCTGGTACTGCAGCCCATAAGGCAGGTGAGTCCCACCATTGCTGGCCAGTCCATTCCTGACAGTACCCCCCCCTCAAGGAGCAGCCTCAGGACTCTCCAAACAGTCCTAGCTGGGCAAAATGTTCCACCACCCGGGTCTGGTAACTGGCGGGATATCAAAGACTGGCACACCGGGCAGGACTCCGGGCAGAGGCACACCGGGTGGCACACCGGGCAGAGGCACATCGGGCTGGACTCCGGGCAGAGGCACATCGGGCTGGACTCCGGGCGAGGCACATCGGGCAGGACTCCGGGCAGAGGCACATCGGATCACCAGGCGAAGCAGCAGGCACAGGGCCCCCAGGCGGAGCAGCAATCACCGGGCCCCCAGGCGGAGCAGCAGGCATCGGGCCCCCAGGCGGGGCGACAGGCATCGGGCCCCCAGGAGGGGCGACAGGCATCGGGCCCCCAGGCGGGACGAAAGGCATCGGGCCCCCAGGCGGGGCGAAAGGCATCGGGCCCCCAGGGGCGACAGGCATCGGGCCCCCAGGTGGGGCAACAGGCATCAGGCCCCAGGCAGGGGGTGACAGGTTTTGGGCCCCCAGGCGGGGCAACAGGCTTCGGGCCCCCAGGCGGGGCGGTGGGTGCCGGGCCCCCAGGCAGGGCGCCAGGGGCCCCCAGGAGGGGCGACAAGCATCAGGTCCCCAGGCGGGGCGACAGGCATCGGGCCCCCAGGCGGGGCGACGGGCATCGGGCCCCAGGGCGGGGCGACGGGCATCGGGCCCCCAGGCGGAGCGGCGGGCGCCGGACCCCCAGGCGGAGAGCGACAGGTCTCGGGCCCCCAGGCGGAGCGGCGGGCGCCGGACCCCCAGGCGGAGCGACAGGTCTCAGGCCCCCAGGCGGAGCGGCGGGGCGGCCGGAGCGGGCGCCCCCAGGCGGAGCGGCGGGCGCCGGACCCCCAGGCGGAGCGACAGGTCTTGGGCCCCCAGGCGGAGTGGCGGGCGCTGGACCCCCAGGCGGAGCGACAGGCACCGAGTCACCAGGCACGACAGTGGGCTCCGAGTCAACTGGCATGACTGCTGGCACTGGGTCAGACAATGGATCGTCTGGCTGGACAGCGGGCATCGGGTCACCAGGCATCAGGTCATTTGGCTCAACAGCGGGCACCGCGTCATCTGGCAAGGCAGTGGGCTCCGAGTCAACTGGCATGACCGCGGGCACTGGGTCAGACATTGGATCGTCTGGCTCGACAGCGGGCATCGGGTCACCAGGTATGACAGCGGGCACTGGGTCACCAGGCATCAGGTCATTTGGCTTGCCAGCGGGCACGGCATCATCTGGCAAGGCAGTGGGCACCAAGTCACCAGGCACGACAGTGGGCTCTGAGTCAATTGGCACGACAGCGGGCACCGAGTCATCAGGTACCGGATTGTCTGGCTCAACAGCGGGCATCGGGTCACCAGGTATGACAGCGGGCACTGGGTCACCAGGCATCAGGTCATTTCGCTTGCCAGCGGGCACCGCGTCATCTGGCAAGGCAGTGGGCACCGGGTCACCAGGCATTGGATCGTCTGGCTCGACAGCGGGCATCGGGTCAACTGGCCTAATAGGATCATCAGGCTGGATCAGTTCATCAGGCTGGGTAGAAACATCATGCTGGGTAGAGGCATCAGGCTGAATGGAGGCATCAGGCTGAGTAGAGGCATCAGGCTGAGTAGAGGCATCAGGCTGAGTAGAGGCATCAGGCTGAGTAGAGGCATCAGGCTGAATAGAGGCATCAGGCTGAATAGAGGCATCAGGCTGGGTACAGGCATCAGGCTGGGTACAGGCATCAGGCTGGGTACAGACCTCAGGCTGAAGTGCGGGTGCCGAGGCACCAGGCTGAACCACGGAAGGCAGGTTCTCAGACGGCAGGCTGACCGGTTTGGATACTGGCAGGATGGTACTGGTTGGAAAGAATTTTCGCTTTTTTCTGGTTTTAACTACTGGGGCACTGCAAGTAAATACAGGTCTGCAAACGAATGGAGCAGCTGGAGACAGAGAAGAGCTAGAGGATGGAACAGGGGAGGGAACAGTTGCTACAGAGGACTTGTTTACAGGGTTAAAGGCAGGATAGGTGCAGCGAGTGGGAACAGGGTACTGACATGCGGTAGATAGCAGGGCAGGAGGAGCTGTTGGGAATGCAGGAATAGAGCTTTGAGGAAATAGATTAGAAGCAGGACTGGGTTTTTGCAAGCTGACTGAGGCTGGGTGCAACAAATCTGTCCATGTCTGCAGTATGGGTTGAACGAAGCTGAGCTTACACAAAGCCTGTCTGGTCAATGACTGCACTGCGTTTATACAATCTCTTAGTATCTGTGGTGAACATGCAGAATAACGCTCCAGAAAGTAATCCACATCATCCTCTAATAACCATACCAGGGACTCTACCTGGTCGGCACTAAATGGCGGCAAAAATTCATCCCTGCATTCGGGGGTATCAGATGAAACCAACTCCGCACAAACCTGAATCAATGACTGCACCTCAGAGAATTCTGTGCCCTGATCTACTAGAACATGAGCGAGCCGTATACATTCTAGCAGTTCATCCCGGGGATACTCCTTCAGAGTTTGATAAGCATATTCTCTGTCATCAAACACTAGCAGATATAAATACACAACCTCATCAAGATCCATCCTTCCCATCAACAAACCAAGATGGCTTCCCTGTGCAGCCACTTCTGGTCAGGATTGGCCTTGGTGTAATGTCAGGGCTCCAGGGTATGACCAGAGGTATGTGACTGACGCAGGGAAACGCAGGCTTCAGATAAGTTATAAACAATATAATTTATTAAAGACTAACAATACCAACATAAACGCAGTGCAATACTAAAACATAACACAGTGCAAACGAACCAAACCAAACCACCCACAGATAACAAAACATACAATGCAAGCGTCGTCAGGCAGGCCGGATCATAAACAGGAGGTCAGAACGTATGGGGTAAAGCAGGAGAATGGTCAGACAAAGCCAGGGATCAGAGCAGGAGAATGGTCAGACAAAGCCAGGGATCAGAGCAGGAGAATGGTCAGACAAAGCCAGGGATCAGAGCAGGAGAATGATCAGACAAAGCCAGGGATCAGAGCAGGGTCAGCAACGGATCAGACAGGAGCAGGAACAGGAACAGGAACAGAAACAGGGTTGCAGGAACAGGATACAGGGCCCAGGAGAAACACACACCAAGGCCGAGTCTGCAGGTCTGGCCATCCCTTAAATACACCAGCATAAGCAGTTTCAGGTGTTTGGCTGGCTGCAAGGTTGAGTCTCTGATTGCTGGGAGCACCCGCTGGCCAGCCCTGGTACTGCAGCCCATAAGGCAGGTGAGTCCCACCATTGCTGGCCAGTCCATTTCTGACACTTGTAAACGCTATAACTTCCACGTAAACCAATTAGTTTTTTTCTTAGCAAATACATGTAGCAGAATACATTTTGGTGTAAATTTATGATGAAATTAGATTTTTTAATTTTTTTTACTGGACATGTTTAATAGCAAGAAGTAAAAAATATTGTTTTTTTCTTAACATTATCAGACTTTTTTTATAGTGTAAAAAATGCACAGGCGATCAAATACCACTGAAAGAAAGCTCAATTTATGGGGAAAAAAGGATGTAAATTTAATTTGGGTGTAGTGTTGCATGACCGCGCAATTGTCAGTTAAAGTAACGCAGCGCCGTAGCACATAATATGGCCTGGTAAGGAAGTGGGGCAAGTGGTTAAAGAAGAAGTATCACCAGAAACTGAAAAAGGTTATTAAATCCTCCAGGGGGCCCTGTGCACATAGACCACATTTAAATGCATACAGGGATTCCAGATAAGTAAATGTCAGCTGACACCACCTCCCACAAGCACTATCCAGCAATGCTGAACAAAGGAGATCTAACTGACAGATCAGTAGGAAAGGGGTATGATATAGAGTGTGCACAGAGCCCATACAGTCCCCATCCCTCCTTCTTTCCCTAAGTGGCTAAATCAAATTATGCCTCCTCATCTCTCTTGTTCATTGCAGACTGAATGTGTACCCACTGCAAGCTATACAGGGCACAGAGCGTGAAACTGCTTGTGTTGTAGTGAATGATTGCAGGTGAAGAGGCACACTTTCATTTACAAAAACACAAGCTGACAACAACACGAGCAAACTACTAAACTCGTCCAAGAGAGATAAGTGCAGTAGCCGGCTTGTGCTGTTGTCAGCTTGTGTTTTTGTAAATTAATGTGTGCCTTCTTCACTGACAGTCATTCACAACAGGGCAAGCTAACAGCAGATTAAACTTTTTTTTTTTTTTAGGGAACGCTCTTAAATGTGATCAGAGTGTGCCATAGAGGCAGAGCATTGCATAGAGGCAGAGCATATTATAGGCTTCAACAGGCGGCAGAGCTATAGCTAGCACTGACAGAAAAAATATTATTATGTTATTTCTAATCCACAGCACAGATTTGACTGGGGACAATTACTATATGGGGGATTTAATTACCTTATTTAAACATCTCTGCCTGCATGAAGTCAACAATAGTCTCTGCACGTCCTGCTAATAGGCTACCTGATCCCAGTCTAGAGTGCCTTGCAGTCTAACAGATGTGAGTGTCCATATATCTAAAATCGTTCTGACCAACCAACCTATAACTTTATTTGTTTTAACAATACAACACCAAGGTATCTTTCGGGGTTATACCTGGATAACCTGATTGGGGGTTTTATCTTCTCCCTACTCTGTCCAAAGGTTAAAAAAAATAAATTTGGTGTTAGATCCAAATTGCACATTTGATCAACCCAGTGACTTGGTATTTGCATAATTGTACTTCAGATTCTTTCACCAAGATCTTGCAATAGCCTAGAATATTTGGATTGTCTTATTTTACCATACCAGAAATCCCATTGTGTGTTTATCTCACCTTACAAACTAGCAGCTGTGCAAGGAGTCTGCATGAGTAAAACTAAGGCTGGCCATATATTATACAATTTCCTTGTACAATTTTCCTTTATATTTACCAAAACCATATTATATGAAGTCAAACCTAAATACTTTACATTTGTATACAATCAGGCATGCCCTTGCATTACATAGTTGAAGGGAAATCTAAAGGAAATTGAACAAGAAACTTGTATATTGTAACTGAAAATTGTAACTGTATGGCCAGCTAAGCAGTGAAAAAATTGTACATATGACCCTGTAATTTTTATAACTAACTGTTCTGGTTGCTACATCTACATATGTACTTTTTTCTTGTAATGAAATGTTTGTATGTCCTTGGTTCAATAAATTGAAAGTAATTTTGCCAATCTCTATTCTTATTCTGAAAGTAAAATACTTTCTCTCTGCTTTCTACTCTTCATTCTGCTTGATCTGAGTATTACCTTCCCATAAAGCTTTTTTTTTTATTTTTGAATTCAAAGGTAAACTTCAATTTCCTAAAGCAACAAGGCGTGATTGTGATAAATACATTTACACAGACCCTGCTTCAAAGTGTTATACTGAAGAATAATTGTAGTAAATAGGCAAGGCTTTAACACTAAATAGATATATAATGTTTGGGAAAAAGAGCAGTACAGTGAATAAAACATTGAATATACTGAAAAGCTAAGTTAGGCAGGATTTGTCATTTTAATTGATATTTAAAATCATACAGAACAACAACCTCCAGTTTCTAAGCAAATTAAAGTAATTCTAAAGCCATTTTTTATGAAAAAAAAACAGGCTATACTTGCCTGCTCAGTACAATGAGATTGCACAGAGCTGGTCGCTTACCCTTTCTTTTTTGGACCCCAGTCAGTGATGTCCTCTCCTCCTCCCTGCGAGTGCCCCTATAGCAAGCCATGTGCTTTGAGGCACCTGTGCAGGTGTGCTCCAGAACTGGGCTGTGTGTGTCCATAGTCTCAGACTCCACAGCTATCCTCCACCTCAAAAGATTTGACTGACAGCACCAGGAATCTATGGCTCCCACTGAAACATGTAAGAGCAAGAAGAGGGTAAAGAGGAGCTGCAGCTGGGCACAATGCTGCATCAATAGAGGTCTGAGGTGTTTAAGGTTTGGGGGGGGGGGGGGGGGGGGGCGTTATTTACCTTAATGCAGGAAATACATTTTGGTAAAAAATGTTGCCTTTAGAACTACTTTATGTAATGAAGGCACATACAATCACATTCATACTTAACCTTTCAAGAAGTTCCTATCACAGTCCTGACTAAAACTCTTCACTGCTTATATTTTTACTTCTGTCAGTCATATGATCAGATGTTGTTTATGATCTGCCTCACAATGAATTGAGTTAGTTTCACAAGGAGCCAAAAGTAGAATTTTTGTATCATGCTTTCACCATGTAATATATCATATAGGAGTTTCCTAAAACCTAGTTTTCATGCATACAATATATTATGCAAGTTAATTGATTACAAGCAATTAGCAATTACACTTTTGGAAAACGTAGCACAAATCCATGTGGTATTAAACCCAGAAGAAAACATTTGCTATATTGCAGATTACTAATTCATAGATGTGGTGGCTGCATTAGTTTCCATTTTTAGGCTTCCTTTATTTTAACCTGGTGATATGGCCAGCAAGTCTGTTGTTTTTCAACAGTACAAGCTGTCCTGCAGACATATCTGTTAAGAGTGTTGAGACAAACGTATCCTAAAAGGAAAAAATATTTTGTCGCAACTGTTTCTGTGACTGCAG